CCACTTAATGGGACTCTTCAGTGCCATGAAAACAAACCGTTTTCCTGGCACTGCAGTTCCCCTTTCCCTATGCAGGTCCCCTCTCCCTAAAACCCCTTCAGTGACTTACCTGTATCCAGCGCCGATTACCTCGGCGCTGGTTCAGGGTCCGCCCATGCTCCTCTCCTACGCTCATTATACCTCCCCATAGGAAAGCATTGAAAAATGCTTTCAATGCTTTCCTATGAGGATTTCAGCAACGCTGGAGGTCCTCACATAGCGTGAGGACGTCCAGCGATGCTATAGGAATGTGTGCTATACACACGGAAGTGCCCTCTAGTGGCTCTCTAGTAGACATACACTAGAGTAGGAGTCAACCTTGCAAGGTAAATATTGCAGTTTATGAAAACTGCAATAATTAGACTTGCACGGTTAAGGGTAGTGGGAGTTGGCACCCAGACCACTCCATTGGGCAGTAGTGGTCTGGGTGCCTGGAGTGTCCCTTTAAGCTTATTGAAGTGGTCTGGGTGCAATGTCCCATGTTCCTTAACCCAGGTAAGCTAATTATTGCAGTTACTACATGATATTCACTAGAGGGACTTCCAGGCCATTAGATGCCTAGCTGATGCTGGAAGTCCTCACACTATGCATGAGGAAGTCCAGCGTAACCCAAACCCCATAGGAAAGCATTATACAATGATTTCCTATAGGGGTCACTAATGTGATCGTGGCCGTTGCCGTGCATGCGCATTAGGTTTCCCCTGCTGGCTGTCATCGGCAGGAAATGAGCGAAGGAGGACATGAGCCAGCGCCAAGGGGCATCGGTGCTGGACTGGGATAAGTTACAGAAGGAGTAATCCCTTCTGCACCATGGGGAGAGGCTATAGTGCAAGGGAAACACTATAATTTCCTTTTAAGTAATGACATAGAGCGCCTCTAAAAGCACCATAAACAACCCAAAAAAAAGAGTGATTAATCTATGTCTATGAACCCAAAGGTGTTACTACTTTACCTTAGTAAAAACTTCAGCTTCATATAAATTGATATTACATGTTTTGTTTTGAAAATGTGGTTGTGGACACACACACACACACACTCTCTCTCTCGTCCTTCTCACATGTTGAACTGTATTTTTATCTTTTGTTTTAGAAGCGGGCATATAAAAGTTATGTGAAAGCTCTCCCAGCACTGAAGAAGCTTGGCATTACTTCTCTTTTCCTTCGCAAGACGATCGGTTCACTTGAGCTAGCCTGTGGGATTGTCCTAACATTGGTTCCTGGGAAGCCTAGGGATGTTGCCAACTTCATCCTCTTGATTCTAGTTCTCATTGTTCTGTTTTTCCACCAGTTGGTTGGAGATCCTTTAAAACGTTATGCCCATGCACTTGTCTTTGGCATTCTTCTTACCTGTCGCCTCCTTGTATCCCGGCAACCAGAAGAAGAACCATATGAAAAGAAAGTAACACGAGGAGGCATTGGGGCAAACTCACGGGAACCCAACAAAATGAAGGTGTCCTAAACCCCAAATTATTTTTTTCTCTTTTGGATGCTTTTGGAGTCCCTTACAGCTGCTCTATGAGCCTTAAGACAACACAATCTACCCTGAAATACAATACATCCAATAAATCTACAAGGTTATTCACTAAAGTGAGAATCCAAAGTTAAGGTCAAAATAACCAAGCAGGAAACATTGTCTAAGTCACCCGTGCTTTCAGTTCATCTTCTCTGGTCTTAAATTTGAAATTGATTTTGAATTCTTACTTTAGTGAATAATCCTATTAGTCTTACCATGTGTAATAGGAGTTTTTGACATTCAGGGAACTCATATCAATTTCTGTTGTCGACATGGCAGACATATCTGCATTCTTATAAGAGGCTTTACATTTTCAAACATTTCAGGACAGTCAAAAAGGAGCTTGAAAGGGAAGTGGCCGAACATTTGGGGATCAGACTTAAGTAATAAAATTATTTTAATTCGGGGTAAACCCCAAACATATGGAGATCTCTCTCATGTCAAAATTACTGGTGCAGTGTGTGTTTTTTGTGCGTCGCAGAGCTGGATTAAGGTTGCCTAGGGCCCTAGGCAGGGTGGCAGATTTGTACACTCCCTCCTAGAGTTCAGTTTCTGTGAGTGGTGGGTATCTGTTAACTGAGTGATGTGTGTGCAGTAGGCTGAAAGTTGATTGGGGGGCTGAGTGTGTTTGTGTGTGTTGGTCGAGTGGTGTGTATGTGGAGGTGAATTTTGTGTGTGTGTTGGCGAGTCTGAGTGTTTTGTGTGCATATGTCTTGCCCTGCCCCTTGCTTACGTTCCCTGGTGGTACAGTGGATGGTGAGATGGATTTCTGGTGGTCCATCGTCTGTACCAATATCAGTACGAGTGCCCTCGGAGTGCCCTCAGTCAATGACCTATAGCGCCGGCTTTGGCATTCTGAGTCATCGAGAAGTGCCTGGGGGACAGCTAAAGTGCTCTGTTTTTGATATTGGTCCAAACCTCAACCCTTACTCGGTGAGGGAGTACAGTGTGCTGCAGGCAAATCTTTTGATCTCCCTGGTGGCTCGAGGAGGGCCTGCTCAGAGTTGAAGTTCCAGGCACCGCTGCCTCTTTTATCGCCTACTTGCTCGTCCAACTATGGCGTGTCACTGAAATGGTGCTTCTTCTGCTGAAAATTAATGCAGTTGTTACATAAAATAATATCACATATTGGCAAATGGGTGAATCATAAATATTAACATGGTGTTTTGTGTTTTTCTCATTAACAAAGATACATTAACAAAATCAATTTACAGTTTATGACTGTATATTCTAAAAAGATCACTGACAATCTTCACTCTTTGTGCTCCCACCAAAATGTCGCTCATAGCCAAAACCATAAAGGGAATTTCAGGATTTGACAGCTATATGTTCAGTATAACAAAACAGGATAAAATAAATCATAAATATGAACATTCAAGTCTATTTTTAATGGCTATTTGAATAAATATGCAATACTTATTATTTACAAGGCACTGGGACAATTCCTGTTGACATATAGTCCCTGGCTTCACCTCATGTCAAAAAGATTCCCTTAATAAAAATCTTTCATATCATATCATGATAGTCACAATGTCCCCTTTTGAAGTACTTTGCAACTTCCCAGACGTTTCCATGTTTAGTGTGCTGAGACTGACTGACTGATGAGCTTCCCTCAAAGTGAGTACTGCACATAGCCCTTTAAATCACAATGGGTGAACGATCACGTTCTTATTTTTGCTTCTTATTTTCAAAAGCTCAAAGGCTCTAAATTTTTTATGAGTAGTGATACCATAAAAGGTCTCAGATCCATGACTAATGTACTCTACACATTAAAATGTCGTATTACTAATGTAATAATACATTTTTGACTTATGTGTAATTTCCTAATTGATGTACCTTTCTGTTGATATTGTTAATTGCACTCTTACTGTTTTCATTGTCTTTGCAAAATAAAATAAAAAATAAGGACGTCATGTGGACTTTTCACTCCCATCACTTTCAGATAGACTTCTCCTGGCTGAAAATCATGGTAGTTACAGTTAAAGGCATATTTAAGGCAGGTATTTCTGATCTAGCCCAGCCAAATAAAACAAAACTTGAAACCTTTAAAGGGACACTAGAGTCACAGTTTATTGTAGTGGTTTTAGTATCATAGCCTGTTCCCTGCATGCTTTTCAATGTAAACGCATCCTTTTGTTTGATAAAAAGGGAGTTTTTACTTTGCTGCCTAGTACACCTCTAAGTGCACTCACTCAGATGACCACTAGAGGTGCTTCCATTGTCAGCGCTGCACGCTCTGCATGGAGGTGCTGATCTTCCCTATAGAAATGCATTGCTTTAATGCATCTCTACGAGGGGATGCTGAATGGCCCAGCGAAGCGTTTTACCATGCATACACAATAGCCTGACAATGCTTTCCTATGGGAAAGCATGAATTGGCTGAGATCATCAAGACTGATGCTCTCAGCCATGGAGGTGGGCCAGACAGGGCTATCTGGGGGAAAGGGGACCAGACAGGGCAGCGTGGGGGAAAAGATAAAAAAATATATATTTTCAGCACAATCTAAAGGGAGCCATGGAACTAAACAGCCACACCAGCACTATAGTGTTCCTTTAATGTGTAATTGTAATATTATGTGACACTAATAAAAGCCACAAATAAATGTATACATAGGCACAAATAATAAAAGTACCAGAAAAATGCATAAGAAGTGAATACAAGTTTTATATTATTATTATTATATTTATATAGCGCCAACAAATTCTGATAGCACTACAATGGGTGGACTAAGAAACATGTAACTGTAACCAGACAAGTTTGACGCATTGAGGGCTCTGCTCAATAAGCTTACATGCTAGAGGAAGTGGGGTAAAGTTACACAAAAGGTAAGGGAAGGATTAGGGAAGTAGATTGGTAGAATAGTATTCAATGAAGACTTAGTGTGGGGGGCTTTGGAACCATTAACAGTTTAATTGATATGCTTTTTGTGAAAAAGTGAATTTTGAATGATTTTTTTGAAGGAATGGGTGAGCGTCTAGCGGAGAAGGAAAGGGAGTTCCACAGGAACAGTGCAGTCATAGAGAAATCTTGAATGCGAGTATCAGAGGTGGGAGTATGGACAGAAGATAGACGTAAGTCTTTAGCAGATCGTAAGGGCCTAGATGGGACATACTTGTGTATTAGTGAGGACAGATAGGTGGGAAAACTCTGTGTTCACTGTTTTCTGCACTGTTTATCTCTGACAGCCATGTTGATGTTTGTGTGGTTGTCTATTTATTTATAATGTTGACTCCTTATATGTCTGTCAAATCTTAATATTCCTTGGTGGTATTAGCTCTGACAATAATCACTTAAAGTCCTTTTTTTATCCCTGTGTCAGCTCTTGTCCTAATTTCAGAAGATTATTTCTAAATTCCTCTCCACTTCTTGAATTTTCATATTTCTCCATCAATTTAAATGTGTCCTAATTTTAGTGTTTTGTTTTTTTGTTTAAATTTTTTATTTTAGCCTTGCTTTAATAAACGTACAGACAGGTGAAGCCAAGTCAGCAAATTCACCAAAATATTACAGAAATAGGAACAGCACATTTTATAAATTTTAAATACACCAAAATAAAAACAGTAAGTTGGAGCCCGTCAACTTATGTATCGTGTGTAACCGTGGTCAATAAGGACTTTCACACGTGACACTAAGATAAACGCAAGTCGACTATTCCAGTCGCCTAAATACTGGTCGGCTGCAACTAGGGAGATACACAATGATGGAAGTCGTCTTGTAGGAAAGTGAAACATAATAATGGAGAAGGCTGTCATCTGTCAGCAAAATGTTGGGTTGTGGAGTAATCTAATTTAACATCAGCTCGGAGCCAGAAATCGAAAACAACAGGTTTATAAAATAAAAATAAAACAATATATAAAACAAAGGGTAAAATGATAAAAACAGTGTGCACTCACAACAAGCATGCAAATTCAATGAAAGAGAGCAGCATCACTCTTCAGGGTGGAAGTGTTATTGTTTTAATCATTAATTGCTGCTTTATAGTAATCTCACTTTGACTTTCACTGTTGACTGTTAGATGGGCACAAACATCATTTACACCTTTGTTTCTCTCTATTGCCTTGTCACTGTAGGAATGATCAGTGTTGGTTAATTTACATGGTACTCCAGAGTCTAGACTAACTGCCTTTTGTACGTTTTATTTCCATCCGGGTGTTTATTAAAGGAAGCATAGACAATTATAGCAGTGCAAGATGGGGTGATAGTCCATGTTACTGTAGCAGACAGACCATCCAGAAAGCTTCATTTACTCTCCTTCCATGTTCTTGCTCCTAGAAATCCCAGGTCATTGTAGGGCAGAACAGAGGAGAAAAAATAAATTAGGAAAGATTTCAGGAAAGTAGAAAGCACAGAAGGGCAGCTAATGTATCTAAACAGAAAGAAGAGGGACATTACTGTCTATTAAAACGCACAAGAAAAATGTATTTATTGGCAAGCACAACATGTTTCTTAATGGAATAATAATGCATGAAACAAACCTGAGAGATGGAATTTAATGTCAAAACACTTAAGTCCCATATGTAGCATTGAGCAGGCAAAGTGTAGATCAGGGGTGCCCAAAAGGTAGGTCCGCAGATGTTTTAAAACTACAGCTTCCATGATTCTTTGTCATTCTAAAGGCATGCAAAGCATCATGGGAGTTGTAGTTCTGCAACATCTGGGGATCTACCTTTGTGGCAACCCTTGGTGTAGATGCCTAATTACCTACTTATATGAACACCTTACCTTATTTCTTCAGCTGTATACCTCTAAACCAATTATTACCCCTCAGCAGTGCTGTCCAACATCTTTGCTAAAGGGAACTTTTGTTGGAGCAAAAAATGCTTCTACAATTGTTGATATGCATGACTGTCACGACACTCCTTAGTTAATATGCCCTCGTGCAGTACTCACACTCACCACTGTTTCTGTTTGGCACTGTTTCTCATTTCTTTTCGTTAAAGGGACACTGTAGTCACCTGAACAACTTTAGCTTAATGAAGCAGTTTTGGTGTATAGAACATGCCCCTGCAGCCTCACTGCTCAATCCTCTGCCATTTAGGAGTTAAATCCCTTTGTTTCTGAACCCTAGTCACACCTCCCTGCATGTGACTTGCACAGCCTTCCATAAACACTTCCTGTAAAGAGTGCCCTATTTAGGCTTTCTTTATTGCAAGTTCTGTTTAATTAAGATTTTCTTACCCCCTGCTATGTTAATAGCTTGCTAGACCCTGCAAGAGCCTCCTGTATGTGATTAAAGTTCAGTTTAGAGATTGAGATACAATTATTTAAGGTAAATTACATCTGTTTGAAAGTGAAACCAGTTTTTTTTTTCATGCAGGCTCTGTCAATCATAGCCAGGGGAGGTGTGGCTAGGGCTGCATAAACAGAAACAAAGTGATTTAACTCCTAAATGACAGTGAATTGAGCAGTGAAATTACAGGGGAATGATCTATACACTAAAACTGCTTTATTTAGCTAAAGTAATTTAGGTGACTATAGTGTTCCTTTAAGCACTACACCTGGCCCTTGTTTAGCACCTATATATTTTGGTTTCTCCCCTCACTCCCTGTCAGATCATTATCCTTTATCTTGTGTCTGCTGGTTCCTGTTCCCCGTGATTCTGACTCCTTACTCCTGTGTCTTGTATCCTGTGTATCCTGATCCTGTGTTCCTGTTCCGATGTCCTTATGGTCCTGCGTTCTCGTCTCTGCCTGGTCCTGTGTCCTGTGCCTCCCGTTCCAGTGTTCGCTTGCAGTGTTCCTGCCTATACTTAATTTCCAGTGATTCTGACCTTGCTGCCTTATTTACGTGTGACCTGCTTTGGGCTTTGCTCCTTGGTGTTTTTTATTTAATGTTTGGTGGTTTAGGATCCATGCCTCACTTATTCTGTGGTGGCTGCACGATCCTGCCTAAGGACTTTACTTTTGCCTAAGGACTATCAATTGTACTTTGTATCTGTGTCCCACCTATATTCTGTGGTGGCTGCACGATCCTGCCTTAACTATTTACAGTTATAGGCAAGTCTAACCCCGTTCTTCAAATTACAAGCCCTGGTAGGACAATTTCCCTGCTGCAAGAGGAAATACAAACTGCCACACTTGTACCTGAACAAAACACTGAAGACTCTCCTAATCAGCAGCATAACCTTCAGCTAATATTAAAGGAAGAGGTGTCTTCAGTTCAGTGTTTTTCTATGCCACTTAATGAACTACCTCAAGCTGAGCACATTAACGAAGAGAATGATCTAAGTGGCCAGGTATCTCTATCTGTTATAGAATTATATCAGTTTGAGAGAGAGTCGTCCCTCATTCGGCTGGCTTCATGCTCCGAGAGATTGGGGGAGCCGTCCCTTGATGCATTTCTGCGGTCTGAGGAGGAGGGTTCGCAGAGTGCTCCTGATCCTGTACTCATTAATCTAGGGGATTCTTCTCAATTGATTCCAGTGGCACCTACCCAAGCTGACTCTGAGACTGTTCTCCCTTCTACAAGAGTTGCACCGCGGCCTTTATTCCGAGGAACTAACAAGCCTGAAACCAAGTCAGGCCCAGGACCTCTGAGTGATGCTCCTGTTTCTAGCGATAGCCCCAGGTCTAGTAGGATGACACGTTTGTCAATCACTGGTAATGAGAGTTCCTTATCGTATGTATCCTTGATTTCTGTTTACGTGTCTACCCTCCTGGTGTATCATGATTCTCTATGGTCCTTATTTTTCTATGCTCCTACTCTGCCTAGTTGGTTTCTTCCTTGGGACTTTCCATTTGTCATTCCTCCTAAGCCTACTCCTTGTTTTCCTCACTTGGTTGGGTGACCCGGGTTCTCTTCTGTCACCTGTAGGGGGTCTTGGAGGTTTGGAGCGCCAGGAGTCGCTCCTTAAGGGGGGGGGAGTACTGTTATGACACTCCTTAGTTAATATGCCCTCGTGCAGTACTCACACTCACCACTGTTTCTGTTTGGCACTGTTTCTCATTTCTTTTCGTTAAGCACTACACCTGGCCCTTGTTTAGCACCTATATATTCTGGTTTCTCCCCTCACTCCCTGGCAGATCATTATCCTTTATCCTGTACCTGCTGTTTCCTGGTTCCCGTGATTCTGACTCCTTGCTCCTGTGTCTTGTATCCTGTGTATCCTGATCCTGTGTTCCTGTTCCGATGTCCTTATGGTCCTGTGTTCTCGTCTCTGTGTGGTCCTGTGTCCTGTGCCTCCCATTACAGTGTTCGCTTGCAGTGTTCCTGCCTATACTTCATTTCCAGTGATTCTGACTTTGCTGCCTTATTTACGTGTGACCTGCTTTGGGCTTTGCTCCTTGGTGTTTTTTATTTAATGTTTGGTGGTTTAGGATCCGTGCCCCACTTATTCTGTGGTGGCTGCACGATCCTGCCTAAAGACTTTACTTTTACCTAAGGACTATCAAGTGTACTTTGTATCTGTGTCCCACCTATTGTCGCGGCTGCCGACCCGCCTTGTGGCAAGGCTGTGCCCGACCGGCACAGCCTCGCCGACAGAACGAGCTTACCTGCTCGTTGGCAAGCCGACAGCTGCTTCCCCGCATCCTCCGGCCCTCGCGCCCGGATGCAAAATGGCGCTGACCACATGGTCGCGCCTAAAAATAGCTCCACCCCGAAGTTTGTACTGACGTGCGTGTGACGTCGCGATGTCAATGCGCACGCACGTTTTGGGGTCAGAGGTCGCCCTCTGACCAATCAGACCTATTTAAATCCCTAGCTCACCCCATTACCTTGCCCTGTCGTGGTTTCCTGTTCCTGGTTTCCTGAGAGTGCTTTATCTTTGTGAATCTGATTTCCTGGTATCCTGATCTTGGCTTTTCCCTGGTTATTCTGAATTCTGGTTCCCCTGACTTGGCTTGAGTAAACGGTATTGTGTATTTTCTGGCTTCCTTGACCTCGGCTTTCCCTTTGACCATTCTCTGTCTCTAGCGTATTAGTCCGGCCATTCTAAGGTCCGGTTTACGCTCTGTCCTTTTTATTTTCCTTTTCTAGCCTATGTATATGTTTACATAGTTTCTGCGTGCTTGACCACACTAGTAGTTGTGACACCTATATTCTGTGGTGGCTGCACGATCCTGCCTTAACTATTTACATTTTGCATTAGGCCTATTTACGTGTACTCTGCCTACTCTATTTGTATTTATATTGATTTCTTGTGTATATATATATATATTTGTGGCATTGTACATATTTAGTTTTTTTGTATATTATATCCTTTGGTTTTCTTTAATACATATTTTCTTGATTGCTCCATTCATCGTGTCCTTGCATTATTTTTCTGCTAAGTTGGTTCCCACATTTAAAGGGACAGTGCTGTCACAGGGCAGCATCCCTTCATGTCCTTACAATGACAGAGCAGTGATAGATCAATGGTTGATTAATTCTGTCATTCATTGTTTGGGAATATGCTGCATATATGGTGCCTATGTAAATCCCAGTAATGATAATTAATTGTCCACTAATTCCATTCTGAAAGGTAATCACACTCCTGATGGATGATCCAGGGCTGGATTAAGAGCTTATTCAGCCTGGCGTTATGATAACAGGCCTTATTACAGAATCTTTCTCATAGAGCATTATAACAGCCATACGTCCTGGGTGTGTTGTATTTGGTGGTGGAGGGACACTTGCAGGATGCATTTTTAAGAATACCCGTGCCCTAATCAAGCTCTCGCTTTCATCTCTCACTCTATCTGTCCACCTTACAAGCCTCACAGCTCTCAATCCGTCTTGCTAATCACAAATTCTGAATTGTCTCTGCTCAGGACTCATTTTCCACTCCTCTCCTTCCCTTCTTACCAGCTGACTGAAGTTGGCACCTGCTATTCAGCTTGGGACAGAGAAGAGGTGGATGTAGTGAGTGTAGCAGAAAGGGGGCATGCCACACTGCTACATGATGGCAGGAAGATATTGGGCTGTTAGAGAAATAGCAGCAGCAACATCATTTGTAGAGTGCACAAAGTCAGCTTTAAGTGAACAATTTTATAGCTAGCCATTTCAGACAAGCTTTGTTCACCTGCATCCCTCCTACATTTCCATACTTAGTTAACTCGCTACCAGTGTTACTTTTGTTGACTAACAATTTTAGTCTACTGAAACTAGACTAAAACTAAATCAATTCAGATGACTAAAATACGACTAAAACTAAAATGGCTTTTTAGTCAAAAGACTATGACTAAAACGATATTGAAATTTAAACTTAACACTGCTCTCTACAACATCATAGAGAAGGAGCATGTAAGAAGTGAAGATTCTTTTAGGTCTATGAGCCTATTCCATGGGCTTGGAGCTGCATAATGACATTGATAACACAGACTTATTTTTGCCGGGACAGTCCTGGCAAGTTAGAGACTATCCTGGGTAATTCTCCCTCCCACGACAGTCCTGGCATGTGTCCTTGTCAGTCAGAGCTCTAATGGACAGGAGGGGAGAGCACTAAGGGACAGGAAGGGAGAGCACAAAGGGACAGGAGGGGAGAGCCCGAAGGGAGGGGAGAGCACCAAGGGACAGGGGGTAGCTGAGAGCACTAAGGGAGGGGAGAGCACTGAGGGACAGTGGGGCAGGGGAGGTCACAGTGAGGTGGGGGAGAGCTCAAAGAGACAGGAAGGGAGAGCACTAAGGGACAGGATGGCAGAGTACAAAGGGACAGGAGGGGAGAGCGCTAAGGGAGAGGACAGGAGTGCACTATGGGACAGGGGGAAGAGGAGACCACTATGGGATAGGGGGAGGAGAGGTGACCACTAAGGGGTGGGGGCGTTGGAGTGAGATCGTAAGGGAGAGGGGGAGTGGAAAAGCCACACAGAGAGGCTGAGAGAGGGGCAAGAGTTGCTCATAAGGGAGACACACAAAGGGGTCTGGGCGTGAAAGAGACACACACAAGGGGCTGGGAAGAGTAAAAGACAGAAAGGGGCCGGGGGGAGTAAGATACACAAAGGGGTTTGGAGGATGTAGGAGACATACAAAGAGAGGGGATAAGAGACACGCAAGGGGCTTTTAAGAGATACACTAAAGAGGGTTGTAAGACACAAATCAAAAAAAAAGAAAAAAAAAAAGTTTAATAAATATTATAATAAGCCCCGTCAAGACTCAGCCCCTGTCCCACCCCACAAACTCTCTCTTTCACACTACACACGCACAGAAACACACAATGCATCCCTACACGCACAGAAACACACAATGCATGCCTACACACACAGAAACACACAATCCCTACACGCACACACACAGAAACACCAAATGCATCCCTGCACACACAAACACCCAATGCATCCCTACACACACACTCACAAACAAACACATAATGCATCCCTATACACACACATATACAAACAGAAACAGACAATGCATCCCTACACACAGACACACGCACAGAAACATACAATGCATCTTACTCACACACAGAAACACACAATGCATCCCTTACACACACACACACACACACACACAAACTGCTTCTCTTACTCTTACTCTTACACACAAACACAATGCATCTCTTACACACACTCAACGCATCCCTTAAAGGACCACTATAGGCACCCAGACCACTTCAGCTCAATTAAGTGGTCTGGGTGCCAGGTCTATCTAGGGTTAAGCCTGCCGCTGTAAACATAGCAGTTTCAAAGAAACTGCTATGTTTACAATAGGGTTAATCCAGCCTCTAGTGGCTGTCTCATTGACAACCATTAGAGGCGCTTCCGTGCTTCTCACTGTGAAAATCACAGTGAGAAGACACTGACGTCCATAGGAAAGCATTGAGAAAAGCTTTCCTATGGACTGATTGAATGTGCGCGCTGGCGTCGGAAGAGGGAGGAGAATTCCCCAGCGCCGAGAAAGGTAAGAGTTTAACCCCTTCCTCCCTCTTCAGCCCGCCGAGAGTGGAATCCTGAGGGTGGGGGGGACCTAAAGACCCTATAGTGCCAGGAAAACGAGTTTGTTTTCCCGGCACTATTGTGGTCCTTTAAACATACAAACACAGAAACACACAATGCATCACTTACACATACAGAAACACACCTTGCATCCCTTACACATACAAACATAGATTCACACAATGCATCCCTTACACACAAATACACACCACTTTCTATCACTTACACACAAACACACTGCATCCACAACACACACTGCATTTCCTACACAAATTGGTATCTCTATACACTACATTCCATGAGCACACACACACACACACACACACATTACATCCTCTACAATAACACATAACACATCCCCTACACTACATTCCATGAGCACACACACACACACATTACATCCTCTACAATAAGACATAACACATCCCCTACACTACATTCCATGAGCACACACACAAACAGTACATCCTCTACAATAACACATAACACATCCCCTTCCACTTCCTGTGAGCCAACTCATGGGTGGGGCATGTAGGTGAACTTGTGGGCATACTAATGGTCAGTCCCAGTTGGAGAGAGAGTTGCCTGTCACCTTGCCCTTCACTCCTCACCATTGGAATAAGTTAACCAAATCCTCAAAAGGTGTAATAAATTGTCACAAACACTTTAAAATTGATTTACAACAAGAAAACTAAAATTAGCAATATATAGAAATAAAGATGCGATCACCAGCACCAAAGAGTAACTCTAAAACACCTTAAATACACTACATGCAGAAATAGTGGTGTGGGATTGAAGTAAGTGCAATATAAACAAAACTATTGCTCTATAATGAATCTTCATATAATGATCTTCCGTATGGAATACACTGACTATGCATTCTAGTAAATCTTCAAATTTGAGGGCACTTAACAAATAAGAGAAATTCACATAGCACTAACAAAACATTCACATAGCACTAACAAAACATACAGTAGAGGTAAACAAAACAGCACTAAGACAGCCTTATGGTCCAAAAAGACCCCTCCAGCTGAGGCAGCAACAAATGAACCCCTGAGCTGAAGATCAGTCTGGATGCCGTCCTGGCTAGAACCCAAAAGATCTATATCTGAACACAGGTTTGTCTGTTCAGTACTGCTCGATGTTGCAGGAGTTTGGCATGTAGTGCAGAAAAGAAAATCTCTGATCGGTTTCGTCCTGTGGACTTTCTCAAGGAGGGTTGCATAAACATCCTTTACTCCCCACCTCTTTATATACCCTAACTACAACCGCGCAAAATTCACAATGATCAGCTTAGTGGAGCACCAAAAACATGGCTGCCAGATTCACATAGGAGCAACATAAAAGCTACGCTGAAGAGCAAAGCACTTTTCTATACATGTGTATATGCGAACATCACCTCGTCTGTCACATTTTGTGCTTTTCACAATAAAAACAATATAGTTTTATTTTTACTTTTTTAAATATTTTTTTCTCTATGCATTTTTTTTCAATATTCTTCATTTTTAATTATCTGTTTTTTATTTGTTTGTTTTTTAAATTATTTTTATTTTGGTCTCTGCAAGTGGGTCTATTTTATTGTGTCTGTGTTTAATAAATATATAGCCTTGGAAAGGAATTTGCATAAAAAAATCCTAGCACAATAGCAGTTCTGTGTCTGTTTTAGATGTATCTGATGTGTATCAACTTTAGTAAACAAGATTTCAAGAACCTTCTTTTTAACCCCTTAAGGACGGAGCCAAATGTACATGTTGTGAACAAAACAAAATGTAAACAAAACCTGGCATTTGCGCTACATGTATGTCCAACCGTAATTCACCTCTTTCATATTTAATACACCCACCCTTATTATATATAATTTTATTCAGGGGAAACAGGGCTTTCATTTAATATCAAATATTTAGCTGTGAAACATAATTTAATATGAAAAAAATGGGAGAAAATAAGATTTTTTTTATTTTATTAGTTCTACATGACATTTTAACTGTCAATGTCATAATACTGTTTGCTTTTACTGCAATAAAATACACATATTTGTATTCAGCAAAGTCTCACGTGTAAAACAGTACCCCCTATGTACAGGTTTTATGGCATTTTGGGAAGTTACAGGGTCAAATATAGCACGTTACATTTGAAATTGAAATTCGCCAGATTGGTTACGTTGCCTTTGGGACTTTATAGTAGCCCAGGAATGAAATTTACACCCATAATGACATACCATTTGCAATAGTAGACAACCCAAGGTATTGCAAATGGGGTATGTCCAGTCTTTTTTAGTAGCCATTTGGTCACAAACACTGGCCAAAGTTAGCGTTAGTATTTGTTTGTGTGTGAAAAATGCAAAAAACGCCAATTTTGGCCAGTGTTTGTGACTAAGTGGCTACTAAAAAAGACTGGACATACCCCGTTTGCAATACCTTGGGTTGTCGTCTTTTGAAAATGGTATGCCATCATAGGGGTAATTTTCATTCTTGGGCTACCATAGGGTCTCAAAGGCAACCTAACCAATCTGGCGAATTTTAATGTGAAAAAAATGAAACACAAGCCTTATATTTGACCCTGTAACTTTTGAAAACACCATAAAACCTGTACATGCGGGTTACTGTTGTACTCGGGAGACTTCACTGAACACAAATATTTGTGTTTCAAAACAGTAAAAAGTATCGGAGCAATAATATCGTCCGTGTAAGTGCTGTTTGTGCGTAAAAAATGCGAAAAACTTCACTTTTACTGGCGATATCATCGTTGTAATATATTTTACTGTTTTGAAACACTAATATTTGTGTTCAGCGAAGTCTCCCGAGTAGAACAGTACCCCCCATGTACAGGTTTTATGGTGTCTTGGAAAGTTATAGGGTTAAATATAGTGCTAGCAAATTAAATTCCCTTCACTTTCGTCATGGGTTGTCAGGTAGGTCCCGCTAATTATAATTAATTAAGATACCTAATTATGTAAAAATATTACATAAATATATATGTTGAATTAATATATGTATATATATATATATATATAGCAAAAAGGAAAGAGATGCACTCTCAGGTCTTTGTAAAAAAACTCGATATTATTTAATAACAGGTAACATACATCTGATCGACGTTTCGACCTCTTCAGGTCTTCCTCAAGATCAATATACAAACATATACAACACAAATATATTGGCAACATAGGAGGAGTTACTCACCAAACAAACAGTGCACACCGGTTTCCATTAGTCCGAACCCGGAAGTGTAAGTGAAGCGTCATGTGATGCGTGTCATGTGACGTATGGGCGTGGCCATTACCATGATGTGGTTGCTAGGAAACGGGTAAACTAAACCCGTGCAAATATGTAGTGAACATGAAACAGCTCGGATTAGGCAGAGAATTATCTGTGCAATGGAGTGGAAGGGCATAAAGCCCTGTGAAATATTCAGAACTATAATACCTACCAAGTAGCATGATATAAACGCAATACAGTGATCACCACTAATAGTGAGGACTCAAAGGTCCATTTCTACGAAAAAAGACTATATTAATATTGATCCAGTATCTAAGATACACCAATTAAAGTGACCATATGTATGTGAATCTGAAGTAGTGTAAACATGCACCCGGTAAAAACAATACAAAAAAACAAATGTATAATGCGTAACACATACAATTAAATCAAGCATAACATGGACACAAAGTATACAGAGTATTAAAATGAGAAAACTATGTGGGAACTTTAATTAGAGAATCCTATAAAATAGATGAAGAATAGGACAAAGGCTTATAGCATCTGAGGTTACTAGTTGGTCTCCCATACAAGTACTAGCCAGGCCTGAGTCTGAATAGCTTCTGAGATCTGGCGAGATCAAGCATTTTCAGACTACGATGGCCATAGGTTCTAGGCAAGAGAGTATGGACACTGAGTATTCAATGATAATCTATAGGTAGTGGACTAAAACCACATTCAAGACAGAACAGAAGAAAAAAAGGAACAAGGAAAAAAGGACTAATCCATATACTCTGTATATCATGTAAATACACGGAAATAAATACTTCAAATAACAACTGCAGAGTCTATAGTAACAAGAAAACGGGTGTAGAGATGCCAGTTAGGCTAAATAATCACTGAAAGTTATTGGAATACAGCCATATGCGGTAATACTGAAAATCCTCACCATGTGAGGGAAAAATGTACAGAAATTGCATACAGAAAAAAAATATATATACAGACTATACAGAAAAATGTATACAAAAAATACAATAAAATAGAATTACAAAACTACACTGCAAAAATGGTATATGCCAGTGTCGGAGAACCTAATTGATCACTATAACCAAGTCACTAGAGGTAAATGGAGTCTAGAGAAATATCACCAAAAACAAAGAAAACGTAGGCAAGACATATTGTACACAATATACAGATACCCTATGGTGCAAAGATCTACAGGAAAAGAGGCTCAGGACGATGATCCTAGACTACCGGGATAAGAGAGATGTATAGTATCAGAGAAAAACTGAATAAACAATATTCTTATTTAATCCTCTGGGTGTTACTGTGTCCAGTTGGTATGTCCATTTTGCTTCCCGTTGAAGTAACATTCTTGATCTATCACCACCCCTCGGAGGAGGTGGGATATGATCAATCGCTATGAAGCGTAATGATGGTAGTCTGTGTGTTAAAGCCAAAAAATGTTTGGCTACTGGTTTGTCGCTGTAGTTATCCCGATAGGCAGTGGTGATAGTTGACCGATGTCCACGTATCCTATCTCTCAGGGTGAGGTTAGTTTTGCCCACATACGATAGTCCGCACGGACAGGTAATAAGGTATATTACGTGGTCTGTGGTACATGTTATATGATGTCGGATGTTAATTATTTCGCCACTGTGAGGATGTGCGAATGACTTGCCACTAACCATGTGGCTGCACGTCACACACCCACTACACTTGTAGAATCCTTTCTTTGTGATATTTGATATAGGCTGGTAGCCAGTGGCGTACACATGACCCATGGGGCCCCGGTGCGAAAATTGATCCGTGGGCCCCCCCCGCGCGCGGGCCAGAACACATGGCGGTGGGCACCTGGTCGCAGGGGTTACAGGGCTGCGACCGCGGTATGTACGCCAGTGCATGCAGATGCACACACACTTAAAGGACCACTCTAGGCACCTAGACCACTTCAGCTTAATGAAGTGGTCTGGGTGCCAGGTCCAGCTAGGGTTAACCCATTTTTTCATAAAATAGCAGTTTCAGAGAAACTGCTGTGTTTATGAATGGGTTAAGCCTTCCCCTATTTCCTCTAGCGGCTGTCTCATTGACAGCCACTAGAGGCGCTTTCGTGCTTCTCACTGTGATTTTCACAGTGAGAGCTTGCCAGCGTCCATAGGAAAGCATTATGAATGCTTTCCTATGTGACCGGCTGAATGCGCGCGCAGCTCTTGCCGCGCGTGCGCATTCAGCCGACGGGGAGGAGGAGGAGGATCGGAGGAGGAGAGCTCCCCGCCCAGCGCTGGAAAAAGGTAAGTTTTACCCCTTTCCCCTTTCCAGAGCCGGGTGAGGGTGGGGGCACCCTCAGGGCACTATAGTGCCAGGAAAACGAGTATGTTTTCCTGGCACTATAGTGGTCCTTTAAAGGACCACTACAGACACCCAGATCACATCAGCTCAATGAAGTTGTCTGGGTGTCTGGTCCCTCTAGTTTTAACCCTGCAGCTGAAAACATAGCAGTTTCAGAGAAAATGCTATGTTTTACTGAGGGTTAATCCAGCCTCTAGTGGCTGTCTCACTGACAGCCGCTAGAGGAGCACACTGAACGTCAATAGGAAAGCATTGAGTAATGCTTTCCTATGGGCGGTTTGAATGCGTGCGCGGTCGCATTCGGAGCTGAGAGGCTGAGGGATCCCCAGCGCCAAGGGAGTCCGGCGCTGGAGAAAGGTAAGTGCTGAAGACACACACACACACACACTTACAGACGCATACACACTAGCTAACAGACACACACATTTACTGACAGAGACACAGTCAGCAACAGACATACATACACACTCACAAAACATACACTCTCATTGACAAACACACACTCACTAACAGACATCAGACTCACTAACACACACACTCAGTAAGACACACACAGTAACACACTCACTGACACTCACTAGCAGACACACACACTAACACTCACACTCACTCTCATAGGCGTGCGCAGCCTATTGCATTAGGGTATGCACCCTAAAGCACAAACATACGCCGCGTGTATATATATGTGTGTATGTATATATATATATATATATATATATATACACACATAGACACATATATATATACACACACACATACATACACTGCTGTGTGTGTGTGCTGTGTGAGGGTGGTTTGAGGGTGTTGTGTGTGTGTGTAAGGGTGCTGTTAGTGTGATGTGTGTGTGAGGGTGCTGTTTGTGTGCTGTGTGTGTGTGTGTGTGTGAGGGTGTGTGTGTGTGTGTGTGTGTGTGTGTTAGTGTCCTGTTAGTGTGCTGTGTGTGTGTTTGTGAGGGTGCTGTTTGTGTGCTGTGTGTGAGAGGGTGCTGTGTGTGTGTGTGTGTGGGTGCTGTATGTGTGTATGTGCTGTATGTGTGTGCTGTATGTGTGTATGTGCTGTGTGTGTGTGGGTGCTGTATGTGTGTGGGTGCTGTTTGTGTGTGGGTGCTGTATGTGTGTGTGTGCTGTGTGCTGTGTGTGTGTGGGTGCTGTATGTGTGTGTGCTGTATGTGTGTATGTGCTGTGTGTGGGTGCTGTATGTGTGTTTGTGTGTGCTGTGTGTGGGTGCTATATGTGTGTGGGTGCTGTGTGTGTGTGGGTGCTGTATGTATGAAGGTGCTGTATCTGTGTGCAGGTGCTGTGTGTGTGGGTGTGTGTGTGCTGTATGTGTGTGGGTAATTATTACCTTATGTAGCGAGGGGGGATCCTTTCTGCCTTCCCTGGTGGTCCGGTGGAGGTGGGGGCAGATCAGTTAATATCCCCCCTCCCTTGTTACCTTATGTAGGGAGGGGGGTTCCTTTTTCCTGCTGCCATGCTTCCCTGGTGGTCCAGTGGTGAGTGAACTCTAACCTGAGGGGCTAGAGTTCACTCTCGTGAGATCCGAGCGTTACCGCGGCAACGCTCAGATCTCGTGAGAGGAACCCGGTGGAGCTGCTGGCAAGAACTCCCCAGGTCCTCTCCTGCCTCCCTCACTGCCTGTGGGTCGGTGAGGGGAGGCTTAGAGCAGAGCCGACGCTCGTATAGCGCTCGGCATGAGCTGACAGGGGGGATGCTGAGATCTCCCCTGCCGGTCCCACTCCATAGGCGTGCTGCGGGGATTAGGGTGTGCCCAGGCACACCCGGCACACCCTGTGCGCACGCCTATGCTCACTCTAACACTCACACTAACACTCACTAGCAGACACACACACTCACTCTAACACACACTCAAACACTAACACTCACACATGTTTTTTTTTTTTTTAAAATGTAATCCCCCCAGCCTCCTTACCTTTTGGAGTGTCGGGGGGATTCCCTGGGGTCCAGTGGTGCTGCTGGGCTCCTGGGCGGGTGGCCGGTCGGGCAGGCGGGCGCGCGAGGGAGCACTCAGTGCTTCCTCTTCAGCTCCCTCGCGCGTAGGGATGCCGGCGCGGAAGATGGCGTCATCTTCCGGCTCCGGTATCAGTGCGGTGCGCGAGGGAGCTGAAGAGGAAGCACTGAGTGCTCCCTCGCGCGCCCGCCTGCCTGCCCGACCGGCCACCCGCCCAGGAGTGTGTGTGTGTGACAGCAGGGCCAGCCTCAGGGGGCCCTGGGGTGGTCGGCTCCTGGGCCCCCCAGGAGAAGAGGCTGGCCCTGTGGGTACATACCGGGTCGCAGGGGCGGCCGGGCCCCCTGTTGGGCCAGGCCCGGTCGCAGCCGCGACCCCTGCGACCCTGGTATGTACGCCACTGCTGGTAGCAATGAAGTGGGTCATTCCTGACCAAAATATCTTTAAGACTTCTTTTCCTCTTGTAGCTGAAAATCGGTCGTTCTCGAAATATTTTTGGAAGTTGTTTATCTGATTGTAGTAGTCCCCAGTTCTTGTTAACAGAATGTTTCACCATAGAGATGCCCGTATGGAATGTGAGCGAGAGAAACATCCTAGATGTTGGTTTTTTCTATTAGTTTTGGTTACTTCATTAGTTTCAGATTCCCATATTTCAATGGCACGAGTTTGGGCTTTCTGGAGAGTCTGAACCTGATATCCCCTTG